TTTAAATAAAAAAACAATATTTCTATTCATGTTAAGCGTAGTATAAGTATTCACCTCTTACATATCATGTCGATCTATATACTTAAAAAAGAGGTAGGTTGACAAAGAGACGCAGTTACTCAATAAGTCCTATTTGTACGCAGATGATAATTTTATTCATTCCATAACAGTCTCGGGTCGCACACGCTTACAACCTATCCGTCTTCATTACCCTGTCAGTTGCTTTTCTGATGACATGAAGTCAACAAAAACGAAGAAAAATACGAAATTTGCCACTAAAAATACAAATTTTATGAGGTACGAGTAGAATAACTGAACATTACGTTGTCGGAACAAATTAAATTTATCTTCCGTGTAATTCGCTTAGGATAAATTTAAAAACAACCTTCACAGAGGTGGTATCAACAGCGTGCGCTCTAGTGAGTTTTCCAAATAAATTGTTGCTTTATATTCTATATTCGCTAGATATAATAAAATTTTATAACATATCAAAATTATTGTATTTATCTTTTATTTATTTGTGTATTAATACTTTGCTTAGGTCGTACAAATATAAGCCTTACAATGGACGAACTTTATGACTTGTAGCAAAATCAAGTCAACCCTGAGAGAAGAAGAAAAATGTTGGTCGGTGCAGATTTCGAAGAAAATGAAAAGACAAATTTATTATATACAATTTACAGTCCTTTTTTTTTCACATTTATTTGAACGTATTTATGGGAGTACAATGGGATAGGTGTAATACTAATTTTACGTAAATTATCGCGTTTAATTTATACTTATTTTATTCCCGACGTTTTGTAAAAAATATCGTTTTTAATTTATAATATTTTGACTCTTGAAAATAAAATTAAACGCAATAAATTCCGTAAAGTTATCTCATCTAAGCTACTTCCGATATTAGGTAGCACTGTGCCTTCTGTTTGTTCTATTTGGTTTTGATCCTAAGGGTACATAAATCGAGTATCATAAATCAGAAGATTGGCAAAACATCAGCCCGTGAAAAACCACTGCCGGACATGGACCCTTCTCGTTAGCAGGGTTTGCATCATTCCCGCCTTGTTATTGTTGTTGTTGTAGATTAGCGGTTGCGGCTAGGTTACCCATAGTGCACTAAGAGGATCCCACAAAACTGGCCTTAGGTGAAGGGCTGGTCCAAGGATGTTTGTTGTATGAGAGCGGTGAGAGGAGTGTCCATCTCATGATTTGTTTTCCTCTGTCATCTCTTACGACACCCGAGGGACGGCGGTACGGGGTAGTGGATATTCTAGCATCGCCAATACACGACATCTTATATATTATGTAAGTACTTTATACTATGAAAATCAAAAATGTGAATTCAAATTATTGAAATACTGTAAATGTGCAATATAAATGTGTTACTAATCAACTGAGGCATATGAGCGGAAACTTTGCGTTATCACAAATCGGTTCTATATTCTAAACTTATTACACTTACAAACTCATGTAAAGTTAAAAGTTACTGCGTATTACTTATACCTATCAAAGCTGTTCGTATTAGTAGAAGTTCGAGTAAGTTATTCCTCCGCTGGGAGTGGAGATGTTCGGTTTCAGCTACAGATGTGTTTTATACGCACAGGCAATTGCCTAACTTGCACGTTGCGAGGTAAAAATAATAACTTATATTAATTTACATTAAATTGTAATATATACAAAAAACCCTGATAAATACATTAAAAACTCAAATTGTATTACAATTCACTCAGGTAAAAGTAAATAAAGTTAAAAGTACGAATAGATAATGCTTTATACGTTCTATTTACACGTCCTATTCCTGGGTTGGGTACAGGTTTATTATAATTTCTGAGAAGTTTTTCCGAACTGACACGACATAGAAGAGACCTTCAACATAAGAGATTTCTCTTTTTTTAAAAGGCCGACAATGTATCTGCCCATTTTCCTGGTGTTGCAGTTGCTCATAAATCCGGCAACTACTTGGTAATTATGAGACCTCGACAGAATAACAGCACTGTGGCCGTGGCAACACTGCACAGCATCATACTAAGTCGGACGCCTTTTCGATGCTGTAACCCAATGTTACAGCATCCAAAAGGAGCCATGGTAGCTCAGATGGTTAGTGCTCGCTGTAAATTTCACAGTACGCGTACAACTTGGGTTCGGTCCCCGCCGGCGACAATGAAATTGACATCGTGAGAAAACCTGCATGTCTGAGAAATAAGAAACAAAAATGACCCTACGAAATGTCATCCGATTACATGCCTCAGCACTTTTTTATAAATCATTGACCCCTTGCCTCAGCTATTTTTTATTGAAAAAAAAATATGTCCCAGAAATCATTTGTTCATACATGTAAATGGCAAAACAACGTTTGCTGGGTCAGCTAGTATTTATATATACATTCACATAAATAAATGTTCTAACGAAATACTATAGGAAAAATGACATAACATTTGCATTAGGCTAAGCACGATTGGGAGTAATTTTATAGTTACGCTTACAATGCAGATGATGACAATTCGCCTGACATCATTAGTAATGTAACGCTAATTGTAGTCTTAATTTTTTATATATATACTAGCTGTTTTATTACGACTGGATTTCATGGGTGTTAATTTTTTTGCGCGAAACCCTAATTCCTTTTTTTTAAGTAAAGGTAGCTTAAGTTACTGAAATAATTACTTTCTGATTATTTTCTAAAATTGAATTTCCGCACGTAATCATTTGCCGGAGATGATACACAAGTAATTAAATTATATCGAACTCTTACGGAGGCTGTCTGTAGCCTAAAGCGTCTTAGTAGCACCACTTTGCAGAAAAATAAATTGGTAAAACTAAGCAAGGTAAAGATTACACGAGTACTATATTGATGGGGAAAATGTAAGAAGCAAAACAGAAAAGAAATCCTTTGTATACTTCTGTTATACAATTTTTTGTTCTGATTAGTTTTTAACTTCCCGCTATGAATTTTTATCCCGGTTTTTGAAACTGTGAAAAATATGCGTGCGTGCGTGCGTGCGTGCGTGCGTGCGTGCGTGAGTCCGTGAGTGTCCGTGAGTAATAGATTTAAGAATGAAAATTTCCCTAGCTCGAAGAAGCAACAACCGATCCTCAAGAGGGGTAGCCTCTTACATAATTTGTTGCTTAGATTGAATTGTAGGGCAACTCTACTAGACAGAGGGGCGACTTGGTAAGACATTTAAATTTTACTATTTTTTCCGGTTTTTTTTTTGCGAATATTAACTTATTTTATATTCCCGACGTTTCGAGCACTTTACTAACTTTAGGATCCCAAGCAGATGGTAACACACAGCCATCTTTTCTATTAAAATTAAGATGTTTTTTGATTTCAATATCCTCGCGAATCATCCATGGAAGGATTCGATGTTCTTTAGCGAGGATTTGTGGTCTATCAAATTTGATCTAGTGACGGGGGAAATCTTGTACATATTCACAGACTGCAGACTTCCCGGAGCGTCGATTCTTTACAGTGGCTATTTGTTTTTTAACGCGGATTTTTATTGATCTTTTTGTTTGTCCTATGTAAGAGACACCACATTCGAAATCAAGCACATCCTACATCTTGCAGAGGGACACCCTTATAGTGTAAAAACCGGCTAATCTTTCAGCGACTTAAGTATGTTTTAATGGAAGCACGTTTCAAGATGCAGCCAGTCTTGTCAGTGACACCTCTGACATATGAGGGCAAACGTTCGACTGTGGTCGATTTCACTCGTTTACTGTGATATAGGCGCGATACCCTCAGGAATATCAATCTGTATTGGTCTTTTTTCTATACACATTGTGGCGCAAGGTGTTATCAGGATTCTGAATTACTAAGACAGAAGCTATAATTTAACTTTTTATTTTAATAATGTTTAGGTATCAATTTGAATTTGATGATTACTCCACGTTAAGAGAAACGTGGTTTTAATTAGATTTTAGGGTAAAAAATTCTTTCTGAAAAATAATTTATAAGAAGAAAGAAGAAAGAAACTAAGGGTGAAAGGAAAAGGGTGTCAAAAATTGAACATTATGCAATGATTATTGGCACTAATAATAACATTTAAGTAGACTCTAATGCTCACATACAATAATCAATAATATGAATTCAACGCTTAAAAGATAAATAATAGGGTACAACCCCCCAAACCCAGGGCAGCGGGAGGATTGAACTCGCACTGAATTTATGCGAATCTTGCGTACTAGATACGCCGCAATCTCCGACTAATAGTTTTCACAAAACATTAAACTGTAACCAAGCTCGGTGGGGCGGCCCGGCGCACATAGGAGTATTACACATTAAAAACCGGACAAAATTATTTTATATTTTATTTCACTATTTTATGAAATAAAAGTCAATAATTCATCATAATTAAGCATTTATTTAAAAAAGAAAAACAATTAAAAAAAGAATTACAAATCTAAGAGAGTATTTACTCTTAAAACAGGATTTGTATTCAAAAGGATAATTATGAAGAGACCGAATCAATCAGAATCACCGTCTCCGAGTTCACAGGTGATTTGGTCCTCATAATCTTCGTCACTGGAACTGTCACAATTCAGTGTTTTCGTGAGAAGCATCCTAATAGCTTCCTGAGAAAAAGACTTGCTTTTCTTCTTCCGTTTTGTTCTGTTGCAGCTGATGAAGGGATCGGATGTCAGTAACAACCTATTTAAAATATCTGTGTTGCACACCACTCTAGAAAATTTTCTTGCAAAGTCTACGCCATATTTACGGAAATGTTTTTTCCGGGCTACAGCAGCCTCCTCTGATAGCAGTCCGATAGGTACAACGTCACTTGATATTACTTGAGCGCCATGCATCAGAATCTTGTGAACTGTAGGTGACATGGGATGCCAACCATATAGTTCCACGTATAGTTTGGCAGTTGTGTGAGCAGTCATCGAATTTCGCAGGATCAATATCATATCCGTTTGATATCACTTCAAGAATGATTCGGAACCTTTTTATCAAATCTTTATTTATTCCAGTAATCCGAGATGAGCATTCAGGATTGTCAAAAATCAAAAATTAAGGTAAGATGTTGTTTCTCCAACTCTGACAATGTTTCAATCACTTCTTTTAAATACTGAAGTAGTCGCAAAGCCGTGTGGTCCAGCAAAGCTTGAAGTTCCACTTCGAAGCTAGTTTCAGTAACTTTTATGCTATCTTCGGCGGGATAACACTCCTTTTTCGCTTTTTGTAAAAGCGAATAGCAAGGATAAATTTCTTTTCGACCACCTTGTAATAGTTCCCACTGGCCTTTTGTAAAATTACCTTCTACAAATAACGCTAATGCTTCTTGTGGTGTGTATTTTCTCGCAATTGGTACTTTTTTAGCTGACGATATTGCTTTTCGGAACTTTTTAGCTCTGGTAGGCGTTGACGTTATTTCTTTCATAATCTTAGACGCATCAATATTTCCCGAAGTACCTTGACTCACTCTTGATGCGTAAGTCAATTCCTCAACAGGTACCCGGTCCCGTAAATCTTGTGTTCTTAGACGCTTGCTTCGATCACACAATTCTCTGAATTCTTTTGTTGGTCGGCCTGCTTTGTGAGTCCAAGTAGGTAGTTCCAGTGATACATTAATTCATTCCATATTGTTTTCTACGAATCTCTTATCAGTATTACAGGCTGCCGACCATCTTTCTTTGAAACTGGTCTTGAAATATTTTAAATAACTGGTAAGAACAGTTGTTTCTTCGGGTGGACATGAAGTTAGTTGCACAAGTCTTTCTTCCAACAGCGAAAATTTTTCTTGAATCTTCTTTCCTTTCAACTCTTTGATAATAGTTTAATTTGATAATAATATAATTCTGGAGATTTTTTTTCACTCTTTCCGAAGGATCTATACAAAAGAAAACAAAAAATAAGCTTATATCTTAAATAAGATTATAATCTTCCCCACATAGTTTGAAGTGCTATAAAAAATATGGGGTACGTTGGGGGGAATTTTTATTCACATGTTTCTACTTCCTTAGTGTCTACATTTTATGCCCATATAAAAATTTTGAGGCGATAAGGAGCGACACATAAACAAAAACACTAATGTATTTCTAATTTCTTTAAAAAACCATAAAAAGAGTTCCGCTGCTTATTGATGGCTATGCAAGTAGAAATTTGGAAGAAACATAATAAAATATTGTTACGAGTTTGAGGTTCGTGACAATAAAAACTGTCGATTGAATTACCAAAATTTACACTTTTATTACCTAACACCAATTAAAACTTAAAACACTAATAATTAACCACACTGATTCACTTTATTTCGCTCCGAATCTTCGCTTGTCTCGCCAAATTCAATACTTCCCCCGATCGCGTATTGCAGCGCCTTTAAATACACATTTTTACCGAAACATTCAGAATATTCAGGTAAATACGCTCGCCAACCGACTAGGCGCCGAAAGTTCGAGTGTAGGGCTTCTAGAAAGTTTAGTTCTTCAATTCGATACTAGTTGGCGCTGTCGGTTGAAAGATTAGTCATGTCATATTCTGGAAAGCTCTCCTCGCTCGAATAGTTAATCTCCTGCTGTTTGCTATACGAAGCCATTTTAGCACAGAAAACTGATAAACACAAACGAGAGCGCCGAGAACAAAGACACGCGTACACTAACGATGACTGAGTTCCGACTGTCGCTGTGGCCACATGCGCGGGAGTTGAGGGTTGGGGGTCTGCCTTTTGATAATCCGGTTATCGTAGGTAAAGAAAAATGAATTTGGGATGCGGTTGGATTAACATCACTATTTTCAATTTTGCCCGGTTTTTTATGTGTAATACTCCTATGTGCGGCGTCCTAAATGCTTGTGGGCGCGGGAGTACCCAGCGTCCTCTTAATAATGCCCTCGCTTAGTACAATTTCTGTATTCGAAAGAAAATACTGATAACCTCGTCTCCTTTTTTTTATACGAAAATCGTCTAGTATTACATACTAGCTGTTACCCGTGGCTTCGCCCGCATGGTCACTGGGAAATAAACAATCCATTGCTTTTTGAATTGAAAGAAAACTGAGTTTTATAGATTTGTCAGAGATGCAGCCATTAAAAGGAAACTGAGCAAAATTGATTCGTCAGCCTATTTAAATGTTTTGAAACGCAGCGTACAGGAAAGCGTGAAAATAGCCTGTTTATTCCAAATGGAAATAGGATATTTTTTAATTAAAGGAAACTGAGCATAATTATCCGTCAGGGATGCAGACTTTTGAAAAGAAACTGAGCTAAATTGATTTGTCACAGATGCAGTTTTCTGAATTGAAAGGAAATTGAGCCAAATAAAAGATCCGTCAGAGATGCAGCCTTTTGATTTAAAAGGAAACTGAGCTTAATAGGTCCGTCAGAGGTGCAGCATTTGGAATTGAAAAGAAACTGAGCTAAATAGGACATTTTGAATTGAAAGAAATGATCTGTGGGAATTCCGATTAATTGATTGTGGGAATTTTGGAAAAAACCTAACTGAACACTATTTTAGAACGCTACTGTACACAATGTTATATGTTTTTCCATTCGGGGAAAAAATGTGGATATTCTGGGTATTTGACACACGCGAACATGCTACATACAGCTGACCATGAGAGAAGCACCGTTTTTCTAAGTTGACCCCCGCTACCTGTACGGTTGTACGTTTGCCCTTGCGCGTTATTAATTGACATTGCAAAACTGAGCTTAATAGAGAACTGCAACATTTTGAATTGAAAAGGAAGAACTGTGGAAATTATAGGGATCTGTGGTATAATAACATTTTTTCCTTTTCCTACGCCTGTCAAAATTGTAGCAACGATTATGTTCCGTCCAAGATGTGTCACACGCAGCCCTGTCCCGTTACTGCATGACTGGGTCGCCTAATTTTAATTGAAGCTTATGTGAGGGTACACCTGACAACTCTAGAGAATTTAGAAACTCTACGGGATATGAAGTGCTCTGTTCTGTGTCCATAACTGTGTCTACTGACAAATACTCTGTTATTTCTCCTGCTACTTTGCTTAATATATTTAAATTTATTTTGTTAACGCTCTCATTTTTTGGTGCAAGAATCACCCTTTCACATAACCATTTGTCTTCATGCATGTTGTTCGTTAAATTTGAATAAACGCGCGCAATTAATTCGAAATGACTCTGTACTAAATTACAAAAATCTCTCGTCAATTTAACGCAGCCCTCAGCATCCGTTTCCAACCTACCATCGCCAATTTTTAATAGTGTGTCAGCATAGTTTCCAGCATTGATATCATTATACAAATACACTCTCATATTCGTAGTTAAACTGTCACCTTGTTACATAAAATAGACAACTTGAGGCAGGCTTTAATTTCATCCGCAGGTGTGCCCTTTTGAATGACAGGTAAATTTAGACGAAAGTCACCAGCCAGTAAAACCACCATTCTTCCCATTACATCGGTATTGCTGCAAAAACCCTGGAGCGTTTGATTTAGTGCTTCTACAGCTTTTTATGCGACATTGTACTTTCGTCCCACACTAAAAGTTTGCATTGTCGTAGCATTATTCCTCGTGTACTATTTTTGCTAAATTGCAGATCGGCGATTCTTCCTGGGCTATATTTAGAGGGAGTTTTAAAACAGAATGTGCAGTGCGGCCCCCGCTTAGCAGCGTGGCGGCTATACCGGAGGAAGCTACGACCACAGCAATGTTTTTATCATTCCGTACTGGCGCTAATAATAAATTTAGCAAAAATGTCTTCCCCAGTTCCTCCAGGGGCATCTAAAAAGAAAAGTGCACCCTTTCCAGATTCAATTTGTCCTAATACTTTGTCAAAAACTCGTTTTTGTTCGGGAAGCAAGCGGGGTACAAATTCGGCTACTTGCTGCTGCAAAGCTGGTATATCGTAGTTTGTTTCACGTATAATTTCATCACTTAGTTCATTGTTCGCTGAGGGCTTATCATTCCAAAGTCGCTTAATTTTTGCCTACCGTTGCCATTACTTTATCTTAAATTTTTCCAAGTACTTCATTATAAATGTGTTCATTGTATGTCCTATTCACGTGTATCTGCTGTTACCTTCGCAAAATATCTTCCGCCATGTACTCTTTATATTTGTCCCACAACTCATGTGCATTAGATAGCCCGCAAGATGAAATGAGAGTTGCATAAAGATCCCTAATTTTGGCTGGTTATTGGCAATGCACAGCTTCCTCCATGTTTTCATCCCAGTAATTATCGTTTTCTAAAAGATGCAGAGCTTCAGATTCTTCTCTAAAAGTTGCGCATTCCTGACCGTTGACAGTTTTAAGGTCTTTATATCCTGTAGGACCCCGAACATTGTGCAGCAGCAATCGTAAACAGAAACATTCAAAATTAGTTACATGGACGGTATACACACGAACAAGGACATCTGATGACTTTACACCGGGTCAATTTCCAACAGGCGCGCCTTGAATACGGCGTTTCCACTCCTTCCTAGATGTGTTCCAAGTATAATAGCGGGGGGACTTCGGAATATAACAACGTTTTTGCAAAGGGGTCGATTTGACAAAGTTGAAAGAAGGCTGTTAGTGTAGTTTTTGGTGGTGATGCAATTCTTTCTTGGAAATTTCTTTCGGTGAAATATACACGCTCTCCGTTTTCTAAGTGCACAGCAAGGTGAGTAACTGTTGGGTGCCTTTCGTGTAAAGGGAAGCCAAGGAGACGCCACGCTGCCTAGTTACTGCTGACATAACGCCCTGCTTGAAAGGTCTGTACTTCATTAACGGGATTTGCCTCACCTTCACTCCTGAGATTAAATATTGCTTGGTCGCTTCCTTTATTTATGTACTTACAGATATACTTGATTGCGCGGACAGAGCTACATGCTTCTTCATTAATGTGGGAATTAAACATTTTACATAGAATGGGCGAATACGGGACAATCCAGCTGTTATCTAAGGTTTCGAACGCTCCAGATCGAGATTTGATTGTAACTTTCCTGCCTTCGGGAGCTCTGCATCTGTATAAGGGGTAGCCATTGTTATTGTGCACTGTTTCTTTTAATAGCTGTTTAGGGAATTTCTTTGTACAATTTCCTTCTTTTATACATGGCGATATTGAATTTCGTGCTCCACATGGACCGTGAATCATATTTCGGACGATGGTATCATACAATTCCTTATCATTCTCAGGATCCGAAATCTCGGCGCTTATTATGTCATCTATTTGGCTGAGCCGCAACTTCTATTTAAGCCATATTAGAATAAGGGCATGCGGTAATCCTCTTTTTTGCTATTCAATTGAATACATGAAGCACTGCACCTCTCCGAAAATTTTCCCTTTGTTAATTACATACATTAATTTTTGTACTTTTAATCTAAATACTCTAGCAACTAAATCGTGTCTGTCAGTACTTTTTTGGCCCAGCATTAGGTCCTCGGTTATTTCTTTCCATGTGGGATTGCAAGTAAAAGTAACAAAAAG